TTGCAGCCAAAAATAAGACTGAGTCTGATAGTACCTTTGTAGTCTAACATAGAGGTCTCCAACCTTGGTAACTTTAAGGCTTATGGACTTTAACTCCCAAAATGGCTGAGGAATTCTGGGAGTTGAAGTCCGGACATCTTCAAGTTGCCAAGGTTGAGAAACACTGGCCTAGTCTGTTGCAGCCAAAAATAAGACTGAGTCTGATAGTACCTTTGTAGTCTAACATAGAGGTCTCCAACCTTGGCAACTTTAAGGCTTATGGACTTTAACTCCCAAAATGGCTGAGGAATTCTGGGAGTTAAAGTCCACAAGCCTTAAAGTTGCCAAGTTGGAGACCCCTAATCTAACACATTTGGTGTTGATGTTCTCAGTCTCCTAACTTCTGGCTACCTCACACAGGAAAAGCAAGAGCCAAAGTTTCTCTCTCACCAGCCGGGAAAGGGTTACAGGGAAGGAGTTGGAAAGAGCCCAGAGGGGAAGAGTCGGTGACGTCTCCGTTCCTTCTCTCCAATCAGGATATAATCAACAGCCACGGTTCAAGAAGCAGAAGGAAGGCAAGGAAAGGCTTCTTCAGCGGTCCCTGCCACTCTTCCTTCCTTGCTCGCTCGCTATCACTTCGGGCGCTTTCTCTCTCTCTCTGCCTTCCCTTCCCTTCCCTTCCTCCCTTCACTCCCCACCTTCTGGGGTCTTCATTTCTCTTCGGCTTTGGCCCCCCTGGAAACTGCCACCCTGAAGTTTCTGGTGGTGCTGCTGGGCGCAGGGATGCTCGCTTTCCTTGGTGCAATCATTTGCATCATCGCGAGCGTCTACCCTGCGGCCAGCCATGCCGGAGCCCTCCAAGGGGCTGATAACGGCTCCAACGCCGCGGCCTCTGCCCTCTTGCCCGCCTCCGGTGCCGACAAGACGCTGGGCGCCCTGCACGGGGCTGGCGAGAGCAGCTACGGGGGCTTCTCCACAGGCTCCCAGGACTCCGTGCTAGACCTCCTGGCCAGCGCCCGGCCTCAGCAGCACCAGCAACTCTTCAGCCGCTTCCTATGCACCCCGCTGACCGTCGAGTGCCCCGCGGAAGGGAGCCCGCAAGGGGACAGTCCCGCGGCGGCGGCGGCGGCGGCGAGCGAGGAGCTGTTCTTCCTCCAAAGCACCGCCGAGCAGCTCAGGCAGACGGCGCAGCAGCAGAAGGAGCAGATCCGCACCGACCAGGAGACCATCCGGGAGCTGACCACCAAGCTGAGCCGATGCGAGAATGGGCTGGAGCTCAGTTTCCAGGATAGCCCCTCCGTCTGGGGGGTCCCCAGGCAAGACGCCATGCCCATGGATGACCTCTCGTGGGATTCGCCGGCTATGATCCAGGAGCTGGAGGAAGCCGTGAGGTCGCTGAAAGACAGGATTGACAAGATCGAGGTAAAATAAGGGAAAACACCCTGCTGCTTCTCTCACTCCAATGTCCCCCCTCCCTTGATTCCTTTTCTTTTCTTCTGTTTCTTGCGAGGGTCCCGCAAAAACTTCTCTTTGCTTCTCTTGCTCTCTTCTCTTCTTTTCCTGTCCATCTTTTTTTTTTCTTTCCAAATTGCGCTTTAGACATTCAGGTAATAATGTAATTGAATTAAAACTACCTTCTTCTGGCCTTCCCTGGGCAAGATGAAAGTGTCAAGTGCAAATTGTGGAAATGAAGAATAGTTGTATCCCATATGGGGGAGAGGAGGGTTGGGATACTGGACACTTTGTGTTCGTGTTCATATTATATTGGGCGCCTTCTGTCAACACTACCATTAGCTACTTCAAAATAAATACGGATATTCTTGGAAGTTAAGTTAAAATTCCTCCTCGGAATTTTATCAGATTGTAGACTTATTCATTGCAAGACCTATTGCCAAGAGATCAGTTTCAAATATTTAGAAAGAAGTTTCATACAGCAAGAGAGAATTTCACATCTATTCAAGAAGTTGATCTAAAAACATTTTACTCTTTCTTTGACAATATTTTTAAAATTCTTCTCCAAATCTCTTCTTTCTAGTGGATTAAAATGAATAAGGACACACCTCACTTAAGGCAACTATGAGTGATATTCCTCTTGAAATCTATTTTTGTCTGTGTGAGAGAGGGAAGAGAGAGGAGAGTTTGCATTTTCCTTGTCAATGATTTTTAGAAGATGAGAAATCCACTGAGATTGCGGTTTTAACTATTTAGTGCCATTTTCCATAATACAGTTTGCAACCAAATGTGTGTTTTGAAAGGTTGCAGAAGCCAATCCCACTTTTCCAGATAGTGCACCCCGCTATCAAACATATATGTCAATATTTTTTAAAAAATTTGTGATCTCAGTATATAGAAGCAGACATAAACTAATAAGAGTCTATCAGCACTACTATAGTTCTTAAGTTGCTCTAGTTTGATGTATGTCTGTTCACTGTCATCAAGGTATCTCTTTTGGCACGAACTTGGTGCCAGTTTCAAGACAGGTAATTGCTTGATATTTCTGCAAACATGGTAGCCCATATCTTGTGATAGTTTCAAAAACCCCGCATATTCCCACAATATATCATTACAAGCTTAAAGATTAAATAATAAAAATAAAGCATAAATTCTTTTGAGGATTTGTGAAGTCTTGAACTTGATATAATTATTCTGATGTAGTTGTAATGATACTGCTTTTATGTGATCTTTGAAATCTCTTGGTTTAGGAAGATGACCGATGAAGAAATCTGTTCAGACTCAACAGATGCAAACTTTGATTTCTTTCTAAAGTTTGATAAAGACTGTTGCATTTTCCTAAGATGTTGATGTAATTATTTAATTTTCCCCTTTTAATTATTGAAAAGTTGTTTTCTCCATTTTATATATTAATTTTAGCTTAATTTCTACAAACTCGCCTATTATTTTTATTTTTCTATATTAATTTCAGTTTAATTTCTACAAGCTGCCCTGTTATTTTTTTCCAACATGAAAAGGTATGGTATATAAATACATGAGATAAGTAAAGACATTTCTTTCTAGCTGTTTTAGCAGGATTGGGCTGAATCCAGACTTATAGAGACTCTGTCCTTTCCAGAAATGGAAACGGACTAGACAGCTTGGCAAATATTAAACAACATGGCTCTTTATTGGATTGCATCTAGCCAGGCTGCAACTTATGTTATTTGAATATTGCTACAAATTCAATTTACTGATATTGTTACAACTGTCAATTACTACTCATCATCTTGCTTATATTAGATCTGTATAAGCCTCTCTTATTAATTTTACAGCAGTGCTTTAAGAACTCCAAGGTCAAAAAATAATTATTAGTTGAACTGCACTGATTAGAAATGCATGTTGCTAAAAGGAAGGACTGAAGGTTCATCCCTTTCATCAAGTTCTGTCGCATAAGAGCCTTCACAGAGGAAATGACACAGGCTCATTCTGTCAATCTCCATGGTATCTTGCATGTACGTGCGCACATGCACACACATTCTATAAACAGAGGTGGTATTCAGCCAGTTCTGACAGGTTCTGGAGAACCGGTAGCAGAAATTTTGAGTAGTTCGGAGAACCGGCAAATAGGCTGCCCCTGCCCCCGCTGCCTCCCAGCCCCCCAGCTGATCTTATTTTGTTGCCCTGAACAGGAGAACGGAGCTGGAAAGCAGGTTAGTGGGGTGGGGAGGGAATGTGGATTTTGCAGTATCCTTCCCCTGCCATGGCCACAGAACTGGTAGTAAAAAATATATATCCCACCATTGTCTACAAAATACTTTTGACTAGCTTGAATGAGCAAGAAGCCTTTGATATTTTGCACCTGTTTCCAAGCTTGAGATACTAAGTAGGTGTAGGTAGTTCTTGACTTGCCACAGTTCATTTCGTGACTGTTCAAAGTTACAATGGCACTAAAAAAAATGACATGACCATTTTTCACACTTATGGATGTTGCGGCATCCCCATGGTCATGTGATCAAAATTCAGATGGCTGGCAACCGACTCATATTTATGGCGGTCATAGTGTCCCAAGGTCATGTAATCAAATTTTGCTACCTTCTGATAAGCAAAATCAATGAGGAAGCCAGTTTCACTTAATAACCAAGTTCCTAACTTATCAACTGCAGTGATTCACTTAACAACTGTGGGAAGAAAGGTCATAAAATGTGGCAAAAACTCACTGAACAAATGTCTCACTTGTCAACAGAAATTTGGGATTCAGTTGTGGTTGTAAATCGAGGACTACCATGTTTCCCCAAAAATAAGACAGGGTCTTATTTTCTTTTCACGCACAAAATATGGCTTGGGGCTTATTATCAGGGGAGGGCTTATTCTTTTGGGGGTGCTGGGCAGCTGCTGTCTTGTGAACGGGCTCCCAAAGAGCCGGGCACAGCCTCAGGGGCGAACGGCTGTGTTGCGCTGTCACAGCAGCACAACACAGCAGCCATGAAGCAGCCACACTCAGGAGCAGCCACCTGGCAAACCCCCTTTCCAGCCGGGCACAGCATCATTCACTGACTTAGGGGTATCGCCAAGCCACGTGAGCACCTGTTTGCCGCCGCCCAGCTCTCATGGCTTGGTGCCTTCGAAATGCCAGTGAAAGGCGCTCTGCATGGTTGGAGAGAGGGGTTGCGTGAGCGGCTGTTCCGCTCCTGCTCATGCGCCTCCCAGCCTCACGATGCCCTGGCCCAGCTCTCCCCGCGGAACCAAAGCACCTCCGCTGCCGCCGCCACTGCCATCCCAGCATGGCTTTTTCGGCAGCTTCCAAACCGAGTCTTCCAGCAGTGGCCGCTCTGGGCATACGCTCTATGGTTGTGAGTTGGCTGCTGGCAGAGCATACTCCCAGAGCGTACAACTATAGAGTGTACGCCCAGAGCGGCCACTGCAGGAAAACTTGGTTTGGAAGCCACCGAAAAAGCCATGCTGGGATGGCGGCGGCGGAGGTGCTCTGGCTCTGCGGGGAAAGCTGGGCCAGGGCATCGTGCGGCTTGGCACCTTTGGGATACCGCTAGGTTGGTGAGTGGCGCTCTGCCTGGCCAGACATGGGGTGTTGTCCAGGGGGTTTATTTGCGGGGGAGGGTTTATATTTTTGCCCACCAGAAAAATGTGGCAAGGCCTTAGTTTCAGAACAGGTCGTATTTTCGGGGAAACACGGTACCTGTATTGTTCTACCTACGGATAGATAGCTATAATTTCTTGGCATCTTCCAGTTTTACATAGATTATTTTCTATACCCATTAAAGTTTTAAAAGAATGGTTTTTAGTGTTGCAGTCTGAATTTTCTTTCATAGACTTCTTTTCAAGGAGTTTTGAGTTCTGTATTAATCATTTAATAGGGGACGCGATAGCTCATTGGCTAAGATGCTGACTTGTCGATCAGAAAGGTTAGTAGTTTGGCAGTTCAAATCCCTAGCACCACATAATGGAGTGAATTCCCATTACTTGTCCCAGCTTCTGCCAACCTAGCAGTTTGAAAGCATGTAAAAATGCAAGTAGAAAAATAGGAACCACCTTTGGTGGGAAGGTAACAGCGTTCCATGCGCCTCCGGTGTTTAGTCATGCTGGACACATGACCATGGAGACATCTTTGGACAGTGCTGGCTCTTCGTTTTTTAAACGGAGATGAGCACCGCCCTCTAGAGTCGGGAACAACTAGCACATATGTGCGAAAGGAACCTTTACCTTCACCTATTAATCATAATGATCAAGCTTACTATTAATATATTTTAATATTCTTTGAGTCAGATTGGTTTTGTAGCTAAACTGAGATTTTATACAAGAAAGCCATAGTATCAACATTTCAATACACAGTAATTATTTCAGATACCAAGGAATCTTTGAATTTAAGAATGGGATACATCTCATAAGTTCTAAAGTTATTCACAGTAAATCAACTTGATGTAGACAGATGTCTTTATCAAAGCCTAAAATCCAAATGAATGTGAAGGGATTTCTCATGCTCTAGCTACCGATGGTAGCTTACAGAAATATATATGAATATCTGAAAATGGGCTAAATTCATCAAAAATCCAAAAGTTGCATCACATATTGCAAAAGGATGGAGTGTTTCTCCATCCACTTTCCTCTCACTTTTTTTCACTTCAGATATTGGCATCTTGCATGACTAATATTGTTTGGCATGTTACAAACTTTTGGAGGGCTCAGAAATCAAGAAGCACACTCTGCACCCCCACTCTTGCTTCAACAGATGGGAAGTTATGCGCTCACCCAACAGCTTTTAAATATGTATTCTGAACATTTTTTTTTCTTCCTTCCAAAAATTCTTTGATAAATACCACCCACTGCATCATGAGTTCAGGAAGTTAATTGGGTACAGGAGACTAAAAAGCTTCAGGTTATAAGTTCTGGAAAGTTTACAATTATCTGGCAATTTACATAGCCATCCAAGCCAAGAATGAAATATCAGACATGCACATTCTTCAGCAAGATAT